TGTCATGAAATATAAAAATGATATAATTTCACTTAGAATCACCTAATACTGTATCACAGTACACTTTAATTGTGTTAGGGTTCCAAGGTGAAGATTTTTCTTATTTTAATTGAGGATCATTATTCAGGATGATGTCAATGATGCCATAACTAATGATGAATTTGGAAGTGAAATAATAAACTCTTGTTAGAAGAACCACAAAGATAATGTACAACATGGTGACTATAGTTGATAATACTGTTATTGTATAACTGAAAGTTGCTAAGAGAGAAAATCTTAAAAGTTCTTGTCACAAGAAAAAAATTACAACTATGGGCAGTGAGGAATGTTAACTAGATTAGTTATGGTGGTCATTTTGCAATATATACAGATAGTGAATCATGTTGTATACCTGAAACTAATGTAATATTATATGTCAGTTATAGCCCAATAAAAAAAAATTTAAAAAGAACAACAAAAATCCAGGAAAGACAGAGTTTGAATTTAAGTGGTACTGTGATATGATTTGAAAATCACTGTACTTGAACTTATTTGCAAATATACAAACTCTATAATATCTGGCATTGAGTAAGTCCAATAATAATTGTGTTGTATATATGCTAATCAGAATACAACGATAGGACTTTAAAGAAAAAAATCTGAGGATAAAAATGAAAGACTATTTCAAAAGAGATTTTTACTATAAAGCATCAAGAAAAGTGTAATACTTAGGATAACAAAAAAATGGACAGAACTCATTTCCATGTGTGAGACACTAAGAATTTTAAGACATAAGAAAATAAGATGCATTTATAGAAGTGGAAAATATAGTTCTTATTTAATGTTTTAAAACAGACAATGATAGCACCAAGATAACAGCAAATTGATATTTTGGGGATACCCCTTAATTTATACTTTGAGTGAACTAAATGTGCATGCAATATTATTATGATAGTCATGTTTTAATGGTGTTTATCTTACAAAGATATTTCAATCCTAAGAGGACAATTTTATATTTTCTCAGCAGTGAAAAGCCTGGTTGACATCTACTAAAATTTATTATCAGTAGCTGTGAACAGGAAGGAACAGTATATAGAGAATTCATTATGTGATCTCTGTGCCTTTAAGAACACTGGGAGAATCTGAAAGCAATCTCCCCCAAAATAACCAATGAAGGAGCTTCCTTTAGGGAGAGAAGATCAGCTCTGTTTAAAACAAAGCAGAACAATGAAGCATTTTTAAACTGGCAACACCACTCCTCCTTCTCATAGTTTGGTTTGCCCTCTTACAAAGCAACACCCTGGCATCCACATTAGAATTGAAACCGACAAGGCATCCCTTTCATCCCTGGCTGCCAAAACTCCTCACTAATAATAATTAGCCATTCCTGGCTTCTAGCCAAGAAGGCTTAATAAATACTAGAAGGGCTTTGGGGCCTCAGCTGCATTTCTAGCCTAGCTAAGGAATGATGGGGGGAGGGAACATCACTTTATGCCAAATGAAATCTGCTGAATAGTGCAGCAAAAGGACTACTCCGTTGTCTATTAATGAATGACCATTATTTAAATATATATTTTATGTCACAGTATGTGTAGAAATGCTCATTCAAATAGGTCATATTCAGCTTTATAAAGTTTATTTCTATACCTGCCTTGAAAACGTTAATATATAGCATCATAACGTTTGCTAATCACTCCAGAAGTCATTATCTTTATACCATTCATATAGGTGTGCTTTTCTTTTTTTTTTAAGATTTTATTTATTTATTTGAGAGAGAGAATGAGAGAGAGAGAGTACATTAGAGGGGGAGGGTCAGAGGGAGAAGCAGACTTCCTGCTGAGCAGGGAGACTGATGTGGGGCTTGATCCCAGGACTCTGGGATCATGACCTGAGCCGAAGGCAGCCGCTTAACCAACGGAGCCACCCAGGTGCCCCTAGGTGTGCTTTTCTAGGAAATGTAAATGGCTTTAATTTCCAGGTAAATAATGATTCATAATATTCAACGTCCACACAATTAAACAATGTGAATAATACTGAAGGAATAGTCATTATGAATGTACTATTTTATTTACTTGGTAAGTTCTTCATTTTGGTTTGTGATATTATCAACGCTAAAATTTCACAGAGCATATAACTGAATGCCTTGAAAAGAGTAGATATTGTAAAAAAAAGAAAAGAATAAAAAAGAGTAGATACTATTATATTGTTGTATTTATTCAAAGAAATATGGTATGGTAGGGATGGGGAGCTTCTTTCCCAAACTTCTGGTTTGTTCTCTTTTTTTCCCCGTTATTTATTTATTGACTTATTTATTTTGAGTATAGTTCCACTCTTTATGGGAAGGAAAAATATAAGAGAAATTGTTTTAATTTCTCTCACCCTTCACTCTAAAAGGCAAAGGGGAATGACTTACCTGGTAAAACATGAAGAAAGACTGGGCAGGCATGAATTTTAGTTTCTTCTACCTTTCCCGGAGTAGCCTGTCTTCAGGATTCATTCACTCTCTGTGTCCTGGGGCAGGCCACGCCCTGTGAAGGGAGGACAGTGCTGCTGTGGGCATGCCTGGGAGTAATGCGGAAGTCGGGCTTATTCAGAGGTGAAGGGTTATCCTTCCAAATGCAGCCACGGTGCAAGCAAATACCTTTATCTCCATGTCTCTACCTCCTGAGTCTTATTCTCCAGGGCTTCAGAAAGCTCTAGAGGAAGAGTCAGGCCTTCTTACCTACCCTAAGACCCTAATGTGAGTGAAAATGGATCCAGCTGCTCCCTGGAGAATATAAACACATGGCTGTGTGTGAGCATGTCTTATGATCCTTGACAGCTTCTGTACCTATTTTCCTAATCTGAAATATAGATGAGGTTTTCGCCCTTGTTCCAAGGCCTTCATCCCAGAATAGTCCTCTTTTGCCTTGGCCAACAATAAAATATATGAGAGCTTGGGGTGCCTGGGTGGCTCAGATGGTTAAGCGTCTGCCTTTGGCTCAGGTCATGATCCCAGTCCCACATTGGGCTCCTTGCTCAGCGGGGAGCCTGCTTCTCCCTCTGCCTCTGCTTCTCTCTCTCTCTCTCTGACTCTCATGAATAAATAAATAAAACATTATATATATATATATATATATATATATATATATATATATGAGCTTGTTTCATGCAATCTTGCCAAAGAGACTGAGAGTCAAGAAGGTAACCTCAGTAACTAGTGCTCCCTGTCAGTTTCCTGACTTGGGATTTCACTTGGCTGAAACTTGCATGCATTGTGATTAGAAAGTGCACCGACTTTCTCCAGGACTTTCCCTAGAAAATGATTTCACAGACCATTAAGGGAGTTTAACTAAAACTTGAAACTGTATTTTCAGAATACAGGTAGTAAACCCCTAACCAGTGTGCCTTGATTTCTAATTAAGAGCTGTTTTATCAGCATATGTTTATACAAAAATTAGAGTAGAAATCATCACTCTGGATGTTGACCAAGAATTAACACACTACAATCAGGAATTCAGAACATTTATTGCAAGAGCTGAATAATTGTAAATAACGTAGAACTGGCAAAGCAGTAACAAGGATAATTGTTTAGATATTTATTCTGTCAAAGTCATCAAACACCCCTCACAAACCGACAAAAATGTACTGCAATAAGCAATGCACCCCTACCCATTATTTTCCATTATACTGTGGAAAAATGTGAATTGCTATTTACAAAGTAATTTTATTTTTGGTAAGAACAAATTAACTATCAGATTAGCAAACCCTTTTTTTTTATTTTTTATTTTATTTATTTTTTTACTTTTAAACTGATGTTGAACCGTGGCATTAAGATAACTTTCACTTCTTTCAATAAAGACATTTTGTTGCATGCTATTTATTTGTTTAAATCATCTGTCATGCCTTAACAAAAACCTCCTAAGAATGTTCGAATTTGGATTTGTTTGCACGTGCAACTGAGATCTTATTAACATTAGTTGTCACTCTGTTGGTTTGACCTAAGTGACAAGATGCTGGTACCTGCCAGGCATTGACCGACTATGATAACAAACAGCTAAACAGCAATAATTAGAGATTTATCCCTTTATTTCCCCCAACTAGCCTACCTGGAGAATGTTCTGTTACATCATGAAGGCACAACACATTAAATATTTTGTGGCTATGGTCTAACACTTGTGTTACAACAACATTATCTTATATGAGGATCAACACAAACTCTGCCATTTCAACAAAGTTGTAGACACACATTTGCTCAGTTGAAACTATTTTTGAATAGTAATTTTTCTTCAATATATGCTAATTTTGATACATTAGTTTTGTATGAGTGACAAGTACAGGATATTATATTTACTTTCTGAAGGATAACACTTTCCCATTACTCTCTCACTGAATGCTACTAATTAAGTGATTTTGCTTTCGCCTACTTTGAAAACAAGGATGTCAAGAAAATGGGTTCTGAATTTCCAAGCTTTTGCAGAAGTTCTGTTTTTATATAAAGTTTTCATTTTATCTTTATTTTTTACAGAATCCTAGCATCATAAGCTGTCACAAAAGAAGCAAGATTCCAGAACCTCTTTTTTAAACACAAGTGTTTGAGATCCTTTGAACAATGTGTGTCAAGACAGACTACTAACGCAGAAACACCTCACTAAAAGAAACAACAAAAATAACGACAAAGAGGCAAATTAAGAAGAAGGAAAGAAGCAACCATAAAACACAGTTATGCTACAACATTTTTTTAGGTGAACGTTGTAAGTACACAAAAGTTGTTAATAATAACTTGCTTCTATTTACAAATACTTTAACACTGATTGACTTACAAGTATCCACTAACGTTGTTAACAGCACGATAGGTTTAATGCTTATCTTTTTAAGTTTCGCTTGAAGTATAATGTCAAGTATAGCAGTCCCAGCACAAATCAATGACAAAAAGAGCACAAGTTTCTAACTGGATATGTTTGTCAGTCACTCTACTCCATGGAACTTTCTTACTCTCCAAATGCATATTCTATCGTTCATAGCAGCAGTCCAGGGTCAAAAGTAAAATTCAATTAAAAAACAAAAAACAAAAAGGATATTTGCACAATGGAGTGATCTCCGGAGAGTTTAATCAATTCTAGTAAACAAGATCACATGGCTAGTAGAACTATCTTCTCTTTTATATTGTAAAATATTGTATCCTCCATGGTGCTAACACAAAGTTATGGATATCCCTGCTATAAAGGGGCATAGTTATAGAGATCTATTGAATACATAAAGCTCTGACACACACGGTATTAGCATGTCTATTTAGATTAAAGTTATTAGGTCCCATATAGCCTTTTTTTTTTTTTTTTTTTTTTTTTTAGAGTTGGTGCTCCTTCGGACTCTCAATAGTACCTCCTGCTTGCTTATAAGACTTCAGATTTGCCAGAGGAATGTCTGTCATGTGGCTGCCATTGTTGAAATGGCCTTCATTGGAGCCATACTGCTTACGGTCATTGAACTGGTTCCTGTTGTTATCTTCTTTCCAGGCTCTGGTAAGGGTGTGCCCATTCACAAGCTTGTCCTTCTTGACCCATTCTTTCTGGGGTGCAAACGTTGAGAGAGGAGATTTAGGGTGTTGATATGGACCCAAGCCAGGAGGCATCCAGCAATTATCAGAGTGACCCAAAACCAAGCACTCTTGAGTGCACATCTCTGTAGCTTCAGCTAATCCTCGGGGACCCAAAGGCCCATCTACAGAGGGCGAGAGACAGAATAAGAAAAGAAAGTGATTAGAATTTTAATGTAAAATTGTCTCCTTAGAGAAAAAGTGCATCGGTGATCTCATTTTCTCATGAAAACTGTAAGTTAAGCAATTCAAAGAATTCAAATTCTTTCAAGAATAACAGAAAGAATCAAATTCCTTGTGGAAGTAAGAATTATCTCTTTCCTTAGGCCTTCATTTATACCTAGAAACAGACACGAGTAAACAGATATATCATTTCTGATCAACTCTTTCTATGGCATATGTATTGTTACTGATTTATCTTCTAATTCTCAACAAAAAGCTCTTATTTATGAGAAATCATGAAAAACAGAAAAATTGTATGTGTGATGTTGAAAAATGTGTAAATGTAGAACTCCATAAAAACAAAATGAAAAACTAGTACTTGAAATACAATATTAAAAATAAGTACTCTAAATGGTTACATAAAATGTCATTTTTCCATATAAACACATGTTAATTTTATTTGAAATCACAATAAAATAATTGCACAACATTTTAAAAAATCAAAAATAATTTAAAGAATATTTTGATTAATGTGTATATTACTAAAGGAACACCTGGTCTGCTGAAAACATTCTGAAATCCAAGTAAATAAAAAGTCATTTGCATCCAAAGACAGCATTTGGTTCCTTCCAAGCGTAAACCATTTTCTATAATTCTAAGTGTATTAAATAACCCAGATTTCACTAGAGTGGAAGTCTAGCTAAGTTGCAAATTGGATCACATGAAATCTAATATTCAGGGGGGGAAAAGTCATTGTAGATATTTATCTACTGGTTTGTGTTTCTTTGCTTGTTTTTACTAGCAGGCAATCTAGAACATATATTTTAACCAAGATTTCAAAAGTAAACTCTTTTCTGATTATATAGAGGAAATTAACCTTTTACTGAAAAACAACAGCCAAATGATTTAGGAAAAATTTGTTTTGTTTCATTCTTTTCCCCTTGATTAAACAGTCAAGTGATAGGCTGGAAATTAGGAATTGATTTTACGAATGAGGTTACGTGGATAGGCAAGAATGGCTGAGGTATAAACCATTTTCAAAATAGAGAGTCATCAGAATAAAACCGTAGAAGACAAAAACATCCGTATGTTTGCCGCAACGATTAAAACACTAAACAACTGGAATGTGTATCTTTGCTAAAACCCAAGTTAGCACTACTCACATTTTTAAGTGCCCAATAATTGTGGTTTTTTAATATTAACATCTGTCTGTCTGATTAATATTCCAGTTATTCCTTGCATATAAAAATGCCTGACAAAATAGGTAAAAGTTGATGGCCAAAAGCTGAGACCCCAAAACACAAGCAACATCGCAACAGACACCGGTTGTGAAAACAACGTGGCTAAAATTTACTGTTCCCTACAGACTCAAATTTTAGCCATTTTTAAAATCTAAAATCTTCTCTTTAGAAAAACTTTAAAATTCTTTCTCATCTGACCTGTATTCCCATCCCCTCAAAAACGAACAGTTTTATTTTGTTTAAATACATGTTTGTTACTCAAAACTATTTCTCTCACAAACCTCCAATGATTACTAACTTCCTAGTATATTTAACTTAAACTTCTCTATGAGCCTTTCTTTGCCCTTTGAATTCTGCCCATGCTTCAAAAGTTCAAACTAATTTCTCCCTTTTAGGTTCATGGTGGTGTGCTCGGTGACTCTGTATCCACAAAGCTGATGCATTTTGCTTTAACCAATCAATGCTCCTTACATTGAGATCACAGGTTTAGAAGATGCTTTTGCCTCTTCTGTATTTATTTAATTACTTACTCTTTCAAGGTCAGCTTGCTTCCCAAGTACCACAGCTAACTTCCATGACTACACCAATTCAAAGCTCGTACGCACCTTGAAGATTTCCACAGATCTCTTACTGATGAATGACAAATTTCCTAACTGAGCTCCCTCAACTCTTGCCTTAATGATACTTTCATCTTGTGGGGGGCGGGGGTTCTGTACATTAATGAGGATCATTTTATTTTTGTTTTATCCCAACTAGATTTAAAATCCATTAATGGAAAAAAAAATGACTTCTCAAGTCTTCTGATCTCTCATAGTGCTAAGCAATAGTGATGATCTATGAACAATGTTAATTGTTAATTAAAATTTTATGAGGTTGAAAATGTTCTGAGAAATAATTAAAAATATTCTCTGCTTAAAGGCAGACCTTAATTATAATAGAAGATGCTGACTTCAGAATCATCACACCAAAAGTTTCCTCAACAACACATCTCTTTGCCTAGCAATACTTTGTGACAGATAATAAATGAATTATTTAACTTCTCTGTTAAATATATTCACTCCTTTCAAGACATCAGTGGAGATAAGGTAATGGCCAATTTGATGTGTAATCTAGCTTGAGGTCTAGACACCAACCTTTCCTTTTTACCTTTCTAGAACCATTAAGTTTTTGTTGTTGTTGTTGATACCGCCAAAGGAAAACAAATAATCAGCTACCACAGAAATATCAATAGAATCAGGTTTTTTATTGAGTACATAAAAAGGGGAGAAAATGCAAGATTATTTTTAAAATAGCTTTATCGAACATTCACTGCCCTCTCATTAAATTAAGAATATTATCCAGAGATTGAGAAAGTGTGAGTGTGTGAGTATATGTGGACCCTTAGTCTTCAGCAATGAGTGACACATTTTAACAAATAGTGTATATATACATTTTTCAGAACTGGTAACATTTATTTATTCCATAAATATTAAATATTTACTGAGCATGTACTATATGCTGACACTGTGACAGGCACCAAGAATACAGCAGTGAATAAAATCGATGTCAACGCTGTCCTCATGGAGTTTTCAGATAATATCTACCAATTATCTTGGTAGATAATTATTTTAAAACCAGTGAACAAAGAAGGAAGAAAAAGGTGTCCTTCGGAATGAATAGGTGTCATTACCCGTTAACTGATTTAGGAATGCTTGTCTCTCTTTTTTTTTTTCTTTTTTTTTTTGGAATGCTTGTCTCTTTACAAGGTAAAAGAGGGACTTTGTTCCCTGTTAGGTCATTTCTACCTTTTTCTGGAAGTTCCTCTTACAGATAATTGGCAATTGACGACATTCATAGTCAAAATGTATGTGTACTATACAAAATCTTTGACTCGTAAAAAAATGAGTTTCTTTCCATTAAGTAATATTAATCGCTCTTTGAGAATTGTACTTATGATTTATTCTTAAAAATAAATTTGAAGGCTTTGATAAAATGTGTAAGTAAATGTAGAGACATTTTGTAGATTCTTAGGTAAGTCTTTCAGGTACCTGATTGCTGTATAAGATTTAAGGATCCACCACAAGGTAGAACAGGACACTGGGATGAAAGTGTTTGTTACTTACAGCCCTGAAGGAGAAAAGTCCACCCCACACAGAGAACTGCACCAAGAAATAGGCTAAAAAGGAACTGGGATTTCAGGGGGCAGTTTATGCTTGGCAAATGGGGTGCGGGGTGAGTTGGTTTCCTAGTCTCTCCGTGGATTGACTAATTTGAATAATTTCTGAAATTCTAGGGCAGAGAGGATGTACCTGACACCTGGAGCAATTAGGGAGGGTACATAAGGACCTAGGAGTGTGGGAGCTCTAGAAGGGAAGTAGTGTGTGGTTTGGCCTTATTCGAGAAAGGGAACTCTAGTCAGGGCCTCAGAACTAAGACTGCATTAAAGGAAAAAAAAAAAAAAAAACTATATTAAACTATATCACACCGGTTTCCTTACATGCTTGAGCTGCACTGTGGGAAAAAACACTTTGCTTTATGCTTTGGTAAGTTTTTATTTTGGAACATGACATTGAATAGGGAAATTTTTTCTTTTTTTTTTTTTCTTTTTGGAAAATAACAATGCTTCCAAGTTGTCAGGAATTGGTAAGAAGGAAAAAAAAAACAAAACATTTTTTAAATTAAAGAGTCCTGACAGTCCCTGCTCTAATCAGAAGCATGCTAAACATGGAAGTTTCCAATTCATTTCTTTCGGTTTTAGAAACAATGACTGAATTGTTTTATACTTTTTGAAAGGAGAAAAACATTCTTTCTAAGGCACTGATACTGAACGTTGTCACTTTCTAAAATATATTTAAAACTAATCTTTATCCATCAAATATAGGGCACTTAAAATATCAGGAAAGTTTTGCTAATATTGTGAAGAGTACATGCACTAAGATACTGCTCTTTATCTTTGACCATGTTTATTTTTAATGTTATCACTATAAGTAATTATTTTAATTGATGACTAATTATAGTTATTTTCCACTCATAAGTTCCCTCAAAAAATGTTTACTGAATATCTATCATGTATCACATGTATCAGATCCTGTGCTGGATTCTTAATAAATGCCTTAAAATTTTACACTGGTGTGTGTGTGTGTGTGTGTGTGTGTGTGTGTGTGTGTGCGCACGCACGCACGCATCCACATGCATTTTCCCTGTTTCTCCAATTTTTTATTACTTTCTTGTCCTACTTGTGCTACATCATACAGTATCTATTTAGAACCCAGGTTAGGATTCCAAACTTACCAATACTTTCTACAATTCCAGCATTATGCAACTTGTTTCCTTTCTCCTCAAAATAATTAAAATCCACCATCATGATTGTTCTAAAACTGAAGCTTTTATTGATTTTTTTTTTAAACCTAAATTCTTTGTTCCCTTTCAAAATCTGCAATCCATGGGTTTGGTTATCGTTCCAGGTTTTTGAATGTATAAAGACACAAGGGCTGATGAAACTATACAAGCCATCTGTCTCTGCATTTAAATGTTGAAAGCAAATACAAAAGCACATAACCGAAAGCTTGAAAGTTTTCTCAGTTAATATTTATATCAGGTGTCAGTGTATTTCTCTCTCCACCTTTGCACGGCTCACCTTCCACTCAAAACCCAGCAAAATACTTTTTCTATGGTTAGGCATCAACAGCTGTCAGAGAGCTGCTTGAATTGCTGACTTTTAAAGATGTGAGCTTAAAATGTGA